TATATATATATATTGAAATTCAAAAACCTTAATGAATGTATATCAGCTTTACCCAATCTGATGTCTAATAAGGAAAGAAAAAAAAAAGAATTATATAGTCTTACCTGAACCTCCCTAAGGTAAGTTATATTCAAATCCACTCAGTGAAATAGAAAGGAAAGACAACATAAACACTACCAAGAAAAGACTGAAAAACATCAGACTGACATCAAATGAGGTCAAACCTAAATGGATGAACTCTTGGCACTGGCACTGACACAACTTGCTTTCCCATGTATTTCCTTAGCTCTATAAGAACACATGTGAAAGAGCTTAATAAAACCAACAGCACATTATTAAGGACACGATAACAATGAGTTGCATTTTTTTTTGCCCTTTCATTTTTACTATGAAAATGTAGAAAATGAGTACAAGAAAATGTACTGAAGAAATCAATTGTAAGACACACAAACTACATATTGGAGGAGAAAAAGGGTTCTCTATGCTTTACCACAGAACCACTTCTTTGACATCTCCCCTATAATTCTTGGTTATGTTTCTAGCACTGCCATTTTACCTTATACAATGCCAGCATCCTTTGCCATGCCATAGAAGAGGGAATTCTTGTTCTTTAAAAGTGTTGCTGGAGTATCAAATTCTTTTATTTCACCCTTGTCTAGAACGATAACTCTGAAAAGGAGAAAAAAAAAATCATATCTTATTAGCTATTAGTAATTATATCTTATGAGTTATTAGTAAAGTCAATAAAATGATCAGCAAAAAATAAAATCAATAACATAAACAAAAACAATCCAGACATCAATAACAGATTAGCCATTACCTTGAGGAATCCATGATTGTGTTGAGTCTGTGAGCTATAGTTATTATAGTACAGTCTGAAAATTCTTTTCGTATTGTTTGCTGAATGAGGTCGTCAGTCTCCAAGTCCACTGCGGCAGTGGCTTCATCCAGGACCAAGACACGAGTCTTGCGAAGGAGAGCTCGGGCTAAACAAACAAGCTGTCTCTGGCCAACGCTAGGTAAAATGAAGGAAGGAAGGAATAAATCATCAAGCAACTTCAATCACTAGTTAAGGAAAATCTGGAGCATAGAGATAAAGATATTACTTCAAATTATATGAAAAAGTTTGTATAAAATGGAGAAATAAAAAAAACATATAAAATCATTATCTACAGTTCCAATCTTCATACTGTGTACCTCAAATTTTCTCCTCCTTCAGCTACTTCATACTGCAGGCCAGATGTGAGACCTGACACAAACTCCTTCAGATGTGCATGCTCCAAAGCTGACCAAATTTTCGCATCATCATATTTATGGAAGGGATCCAAGTTCATACGCAGTTTACCACTAAACAATACTGGGTCCTGTTGATTCAAAATTCTTATCATCTCCATTTACTGTAAGTAGCTGCTTGTAGAAATTTATAAAAATCCTATTTATTCTTTATTCAATATACGGTGACAACATAATTAGACTTGCAAAATATGTTGATTTTTTTTTGGGTTAAAAACATATGGAGAGTTGAATAGCCAACTTCACCATCACTACATTATTAGCTCTCTTGAGCCATTACTTCTTTGTTGAAAGAATATATGTACAAGCCAATCTACTGAATAAAGGTTTTACCTGTGGAATTATAGTTAGTCGTTCACGTAGATCATGTAGCCCAATCTTGGAGATGTTCACATTATCAATACTTATATGACCCGAGGCTGCTTCAATAATGCGGAACAGTGCAAGGGTCATTGAAGATTTCCCTGCACCTGTCCTACCCACAATGCCAATCTGTGCAGGGAAATGTTACTTGACTTTGATACCTTACACTAATGCCAAGTATTATAAAATTAGTATGTAACATTAATATATTCACAATTGAAAACAAAATAAACATTCTAACAAGTGCAAGCAGTGAGAGAGAGAGAGAGAGAGAGAGAGAGAGAGAGAGAGAGAGAGAGAGAGAGAGAGAGAGAGAGAGAGAGAGAGAGAGAGAGAGAGAGAGAGAGAGAGAGAGAGAGAGAGAGAGAGAGAGAGAGAGAGAGAGAGAGAGAGACAAGGAACAAGGGAGAGGGAGGGGGGGAGTGAGAGTAGGTGAGGGTGAGGGTGAGGGTGAAGGGGAGGGGGAGAGGGAGAGAAGCTGGCTGATTTTACTATCTGCAAAAATGTTACAACCTTTTCCCCTCCTGATATTTTGCAGTCAATGTCTCGGATTACAAGTTCAAGTCCTTCACGGTATCTAGTGGAATACTTGCTGAATTCCACTACTCCCTCATCAGGCCACTCCTGGAAGAAAATGAGGAATAAAAGTTTGCTTCTGAAGTATGAAATCACATTTTATCATGCATTATGAAAAACACTTCTGTAAGCCAAGGTCTATGAATAAAAGCACTCATGGCAGTAACATGATATCATCAGATGATCATCTCAGGGCATTAACCTTGCTGATGTTCGAACTTGAGACACAGCCATGAGAGGAATATCATGGCAATACTACTGGAATATG